TTTTTAGTTGTTTTTGGCTCATTTCTTTCTATTTTTAGTAGAGATGGGGTCTCGCTATGTTGCCCAGGCTGGCCTCGAACTCCTGGCCTCGAGCGATCCTCCCTCCTCGGCCTCCCAGAGCGCTGGGATCACAGGCCTGAGCCACCGCGCCCGATGTTTTCTTTTCTTTTTTTTTTTGGCGGGAGGTCACCTGATCCTACTCATAGGTGGCCACCCATTTTTCCTGGTTCGGTAAAGGTTCCAGAAATTTCAATTTGAGGCCTGAACTCTAATCTTTGCCTTTGCTCCCCACAAAATAAATGCCTTGTAAGACGGCCCTGGTGAGTCGCGTCCACGAATGATAAAAATCGAAATATTGGGGCAGCCAACCAGGCAGGGTTCGGATGGGGGACTCGGCCTGGGGGGGGGCTGCCGGTTTGAGGGCCTGTGGTTTAAAAGATGTATCATCGTAAAGGTGGGTTCTTAGAAGATTCTAGAGGGCCCGGTGGGGGTCCGAGTGTAGGGGCGCAGACGGGAGGGAGGGGGAGGCGGACGGCAGACCCAGCCCCAGGCCCCTGCCAGGTTGGGGGCCGGGCTGGATTCGAACCCGGGTCTTCTGCGGTCTGCTTACCATGGAATGGCCCAGAAGGAAGACGGGGAGGCCGGGGTGGTCTTTCTGCACCATGTCCACGTGCTGCAGGACGTCCCTGACGAAGACGTGAAAGTCAGACACCACCATCCTGTCCCCTTCGCTCTGGCCGTGACCCACTGGAACGGAATAAGGGACAAGAGAGCGGCGGCGGTCACCACCGGGGTGACGCCCGCCCCCCAGCGGCCACCGCTCCCTCCCGAGAGCCCGAACGCCGTCGCCTCCTTCCACGCTTTCCGCGCGGCTCTCGCGATTAATTCTTCGCCCTGCTTTTTTTACGGAGCAGGAAGTGGAGGCTCAGAGTGGTTAATTAACTTCCCCGAGATCACACAGCTAGAAAGTGACGAACCAGGGGTGTCCATCTCGGGGGCGGTTTCCAGGGAGGAAAGAAAGGCCGGGCACGGAGGGTCTCGGCGGCGTGCCCAGCTTTCTGCAGAGTGGGGCTGCCCGCAGGGCTCAGAACTTTCCCGGGTGTTCCCGGTTCCCTGACGGTCGCTATAGAAACAAAATGAATTGGAGGCGATACTCCCCCATCATGGCCACCCACCAAAGAGACCCAACTCCGTCCCTCTCATGCAAGACGGTTCCTTCATCTGTAAATGGTTATCCAGCTGCAATGAGAACACGCTTTCTCCTTGATTCATTGATTCATTCATTTTTTAATTTGTTTTAGAGATGGGGTCTCGCTACACTGTCCAGCCTGGATTCGAACTCCCGGGCTCAGGACGACAGGTGCTACGTATTCACTATGTTTTTCAAATTTTCTATATTTTGCAGCTTTCACATCTTGGATCTTGAGGATTCTGGAGAGACTGTCCTCCCTCCGTGGCCCGCGACACCCCTCCACCACCACCCTCCCGGCCCCCAAAGAAGGGGTGGCGAATTCCTAGAGATGGGGGGGTGACCTGCCGACAAGAGCTCGCCTTTCGTATCCAAACCAACCAGGGAGGTATGCACGCCCGAACCGCCTCCTTTGTCTCCTTTATCAGATGGTCACGCTCCAGGCCACTGTCCCCCCCCGACCCCGTGCCCGGGCTGGGGAGGGGGTTGGGCGAGGGTCGCACAACATCATGATTTTGCTTAATATACCAGTGAGCCGTGTGCACTTAAAAATGGTTACGATGAGCTCGGGCGCGGCGGCTCACGCCTGTCATCCCAGCGCTCCGGGAGGCCGAGGCGGGAGGATCGCTCGAGGTCAGGAGTTCGAGACCAGCCTGAGCAAGAGCGAGACCCTGTCTCTACTACAAATAGAAAGAAATTGGCCAAACAACTAAAAATTTATAGAAAAAATTAGCCGGGCACGGTGGCGCATGCCTGTAGTCCCAGCTACTCGGGAGGCCGAGGCGGGAGGATCGCTTGAGGCGAGGAGTTGGAGGCTGCTGTGAGCGAGGCTGATGCCACAGCACTCCTGCCTGGGTGACAGAGCAAGACTCTGTCTTCAAAAAGAAAAAATAGAAATGGAGGCCAGGATGGAAGGATCGCTTGAGGCTTCAAGCGATCAAGACCAGCCTGGGCAACATAGCGAGACCCCACTTCCACAGAAAATGAGAAAAATTAGCTGGGCACGGTGGCGCGTGCCTGTAGTCCCAGCCACTTGGGAGGCCAAGGCGGGAGGATCGCTTGAGCCCAGGAGTTGGAGGTCGCTGCGAGCGAGGCTGACGCCATGGCACTCTAGACCCTGTCTCCAAAAAAAAAAAAATTAAAAGTAGAGGAGCCACATCCTCAGATGGGAGGCCACATGTCCCCCACTGGAAAAACATGCTTGGCCATCGGCCGGCCCATCGCACAGAAACAAACGTCCAAGCAAGAGCGTGTAGAACGAAAGGACACTCAAAGTCCCAGGTCAGAGGGACTGTGACCTTTGAGAGGGGTGGTTTGGGGCGGGTTAGACCAGGGCCAGTCTACTCCGTGTCACCTGATCTAGGGTGGCCCTGCTCCCCTCTTTCTGCAAACATGCATATGGCAAAGTGTCCACGATCACGGCTTGTTGGCCCGGAAAACGGTTTGTTTCCCTTCAACAAAAGCCATTTCCTCGTCTGCTGTTGGCCGATGGGCCGAGTTTCCATGCACAGAGGCTCAACGGGACATGTTGTCACCTCCCCCGGCCACCTTCGACCCAGGAGGGACGGTCCCCTCTGCAGCGTCCCAGCGCCAGCCTGGTTTCCTGACGGCCATCAAAGCACGAATTCATTTCCCTCCTAACCGACGACAGCTGGAAAACCGCGTAAAGATGCCAGAATCCAGCATGTGGCCCGTGGGGGACACATTTCAACTCAGATTTCCTTTTTTTTTTCTTGAAGCTCTTACAAGGTGCTTGATGATAGAATCCACTAGAAGGCCGTTGAAACGGTGCGGCGTCTTAAAAGTGATGCATTCCCGGGATTTCAGATTTAGATTTATTTAAAAACATCCTCCTCTTCCACTGTACAAATAAGAGGAGACAGAGTGACAAAAACGTGTCATAACTCTGGGTTTTTGGCATCTCGCAAGATGATCTTCCTGCTTGTGGATCGTGCTGCGGGTGACGGTTTGGGTTTTAAAGGACCGAGGGAGGCCGGTTCTCTGGGTCCCGCCTGCGGATTTTGACTCCCATGCAACCAGCCGTGGGGCTCCGGGCAGTTCGGGCTGGCCAGAATCTTCCAGATCTTTCTTTGAGACCTGTCTGACGAAGGCCGCGCACACAGAAAGGGCTCTGGCGTGTAAACAGGCAGCAGCTGTGGGCTGGGCAGAGGCCGTGAGCAGCAGACACTTCCAGGATACGGTGACATCGAGGAATGAAAAGTCTCTAAGGGAATAACAGGAAGCTCTGCAAATTCCAAATAATGCTCATGGCATGTTCCAGAACTCCCTGAGACCTGTAATCCCAGGGTTTTTTTTTTTTT